CCCGAGGAGCGCATGGACAGGGGCAGACAGGTAGGAGACGAGGTTCCCACCGAGGTTTCCCCCTGCCCTGGCAACGCTGAGCTGGCTCCGGTGTCACCGTGTCACCCTGCTGGCACACAGCCCCCAGCAGCGTCCTGTGACACCCCTCGCTCCTTCCTCCTGCAGCCTGGGGCATCGTCAGGAAACTCTTGCCCACTGCTCCTCCCGGGTGCACGTGTGAAATGTGGATCCTTACAGCCTCCCCACGGTTTCCATCACTCTGTTTCTCTGAGCTGAAAAAGTCCTTAATGCAAATATCGGGGTTCTCGTAGGCAGAGGAATGAAATGGCTGCAAATGGTGTGGAAATAGCTCTGTGTGGGTAAAAGGAAGAACCTCATCCCAAATTACGGGTGACTCGGCCAGCAGTTCATGAAAATGCCACCGAGCGAAAATGCTGCTTGAAAGCAGCAGGTGACTGTGCTTTGGGAATATTCCTGGGGGGTGTGATCCCACTGAAACATGACCTGCATACACTGTGGTACCAGAACTCGAGGTGTTTACGCTGCTAAACACTCATTTTAAATACATTTCTGATATCTAGATTGAGCTCCTAGTTCTGCTGCTGTTGGTGGGAAGATTAGTGACCAGTCCCGGGGAGGAGGAGGAGGTGGTGACAGCCCCACTGCTCCATCCTTTATGTGGAAATTAAGGCACAAACTGCTGGAAATGTGCCTTCTGCTGGGGCCCGGTTCAGCTCAGGACAAGTCACTTTTTAGTCACTCCTAATTTTAATTTTCTTCCTGCCAGCCTGCCCACCTGCCCATGCACCTCATCCACAGTTAAAATGTATTTTAGACTCCACAGGTTGTGACTGGAGGCAGAACTCTGTGCTTGGAGCACTTCATTCCCAGCCTTAACCCGTGGTGCCCAGCAGCTGGAATCGTGGGGGGGGAGAGGGAATGGCTTTGCAGTGGGGGCCCGGGGGGGTGTCCCAGTGAATTCCCGCTTGGAAAGCCCTGTTGGAGGCCTGTGGGTGTGCACACCACGGCTCTTGGCCAGAGCACAATTCCCCTGGGGCTGGCACGGACCCACCTGCGGCTGCAGGGAGCATTAAAACCCAGCAGTGACAACCCTTCCGTTTTTATTCACATGCATGATGAGTTCACGATCAAATCTCTTAGCTCCTTAGTGAATTTGCTTCCTTAAGAAATTCCCTTTGCAGTCGTGCTGCAACTGTTTATCTGCTTTTAAATTTTTATGTTTTGCTGCCTTCTTTTTTTTTTTTTTCCCCTGTTCTTGTTATTTTTAAATGAACTTTCAGATGTTATTATTTCCTCGGGGCCGAGTGAAATGAGAAGGTACCTGAAAGGGTTTAGGGTGCCAGCCTAATCATTGAATCCAGCCTTGCTGCCTGAAAATTTCAAAGCTTTAAAGCCTTGAAAAGGGATTCAAGTGGAAGTGGTGACACGTAGCAGCATAAATAATTATCTTTGGGCCCTTTCACCTCTGAATTCTTTTTTTACAGCGTACAGAACATGGTCTGAAGAGGTTAATAAACGCTCTGCCGCCGAGTGCTTACAAAATTAATGCAGCTGCCATGGATCTGGGGGGCTCCCTGGGAGTGGGGCTGTGCTGCCTCCCGGCTCTCCCAGAGACCCAAAGGCTTCCCGTGGTTATCCTGGCCGAGGATAGGGGGATTTCTCTTTTAAAGCAAGGGAAGGAATCCCCTTTTTCCCCCCTCCCCACCGAAAAGCCCCGGGTAAAGAGCAAAGCAAACCCATAACTGGTGCTGGTGCATCACCTCGAATTAACCTGCTGGGCTCTGCAGTCTTCCAGCTCTGGAAATCACTTCAAATGCTTCCCTGAAATTTTCCCATGGATTTTTTTTTTTCCCCCCAGGATCCTTGATGTACCAAAGGGCCGAATTTAAGTACGAATACGCATCCAGTTGGGAGTCATTTCCAAAGCGGGATTTGGGTCTCTTTGACCTCTTATTAAAGCTGGGAAACGCCTCCTCTGCGACAAACAGAGCTTTCGTTTTTTTTTTTTCCTTAAAATATTTCTGTGCAAAAATGCTGCCCCACGTGTGGCCAACGTCTGTCCCTTTGCTGCTGAGGTGTCACAGGTGGGGAGTCCCTGCCTGGGGCTGGATGGATTTCTTTGGGATTCTGCAGCAATTCTGTTGTTTTTGGGAAGTGGGGGGGGGGGATGCTCAGCCTGGATGCAGAGGATGTTTTGTCCCCGTTGCTTGTGGCGCCTCCAGCTCTCCCCTCTTGTTTGCCCGTGCTGCTAATCCCAAAAATAAATGCTCGCTTTTGTTTGTTTGTTTGTTTGTTTGCAGGCGTACGGCCTCGGGAGGCCCTACCCTCTCCCACCTCCTGCAGGAAGGTACAGCTGGAATTAGCCCCTGCCTCCCGTTCGTGTTATTTTTTTTTTAAAACCATGGAAGAAACGTCCGCGGTTTTTTGTTTTTTGCTTTTTGTTCTTTTTATTATTTGTGAGGGGTGAGGGAGTGGGTGGGTAAAAAGGAAAAAAAAAATGAAGCTGTTAAGCGCCATGCCTGTAGTTTTTAAAGCGATGCCTGTTTTAAATGTGCACATTTCTTACGGACCTGATGATGAATTTTTTGGGGAGGGACTGGGAAGAGCGGGAGCGCCGCGTTGTCCTCCTGTGCCTGCCACCGATGTGGACAGAACGGCCAGAAATGGGATTTTAGCAACTCCTGGAGCAGACCCGGACGAGGCCCTCGCTGCTCCTCGCAGAGACAATGGGATTTTCGGACTCTGAAGTAAAAACATTTCAACTTTTACAGACGCGTTTTGTCTGTTTGATACCTAATTTAAAATAGCTGCCAAGGGCAGAGGTTCCATTCGTTTTTAGCACTCTTTCTAGGGGTTTTTTTCTGTGTGAGTGTACCAGATCAGTAAATATTTTTATTTGCTTTATAAAGTGGCTTTTGAAATTCTGAGCCGTGCCGTGTGGTTGATTTCCAGCCCCCTCCAGAGCCTGCTTGCATCTTTTACCTGCCTGCACACTTTCCTGCTGATTTATTGGGAAATAATTCCACCCGGCCTCTAGCATTTAAAATATTTGTTAAAGGAAAAAAAAGGAGAATCCAGTTCGGCTTTCCCTTTGGAATTTCCATTAAATCCAGGTATTGTGGAAATCAGTGAAGTTCCCAGTCCTGCTCTCGGTGCTCCCTTCTTCCCAAGCATCCAGGTGCTGTTAATCACCAGCAATGTGGGGAGAGCCCCGTGTAGCCTTGGAAGGAAGAAATCATCAACCTGGATTCATTATTTTCAAGTGATGGAGGGTGGAGCAGAATCCTTCATTGTGATGCAGCGTTCCCGGGGCTGGGAGCCGCCAGCCCTCTCCCTCCCCAGGGCCTTCTCCCGGGGCTGGGAACAAACTGGGCGCTCTAAAAGAGCCATTTTGCTTCTCCAGCAGGACAAAACCCAGCTCTCAGGGTGAGTTTTTCATGGCAGTGGGCCGGAGGAAGGAGCGGGGTGCTTTGCCTACCTTCCAAAGGGATGGATGGACCCGGCTGCTGCCGTGGCTTTGTCCCTCACCCGCGTTTTTTTGGGGGCACGGAAACAAGGCTGGGTAAACATTCTGGGGGTCGGGCTGCTGTGGGAAAGGCTCATCCCTTCACCCCCTGGGAGTGTGATCCCGAGTGGAGCCAGCCTGGGCCGCGGGGATTCCTTTTCCAGGCTCAGGCTGGGATGCAGGACCCGGCCAGGCAGCACCAGCCGTCCTTGGGGCTCTGCTTCGGCTGCTGGGGGACTTGGGACAGCATCCCTCCTCAGGCTACGATTTTATTTCTTTTTCCCAGCTGCCATATCTGCTTGGATTTAACAGAATTTGAGGGGGGAACCAGTCGGCAGGCCGGGCTCAGTCCCACCCCAGACACTCGGAGCTGTTTCCCGTGGGAGTCAGCAGGGAGAAATTCTCCCTCCTGGAAAAGGGAGGGGAGCTGGGGTGTTCCCTGTGTGGCACCTGCCGGGAGGGGAAGGGAAAGGGAAAAGGGTCTCTTCTCTTCCCGGGACAACGGTGGAGATGCCCTTGCCCTCCAGGCTCCCGCACGGAGCTTGGGAAGGCGTCTGGGAGCGAGTCCGTGTTCTTGCAGAGGCCAAAATCCCGATTTTCCACCTCAGAATCGTTCCTTCACGGCACGGCCGGGAGTGGAGCGGGCCCCGGGGTTCAGCGGGTGCCCCAAGGATGGGGGAGCCTGGAATTCAATCCTCGGCGGCCGAGAGTGAGGCAGGAAAAAAGGGGATTTTGAGCTCGTCCTTCAGTCCGTACGGCGCGAACGAAGCAGCCGACTCGTGAGAACAAGGCTTCCTTTTATTGTTTCCAAATAAAATTAAAATTAAAAATAAAAATAAAAGGAAGAAAAATTGCCGGAGCGTCCCGAGGAGCGTTTCCCGACGTGCGGGAGGGATTTCCCCTCGGGAGAAGCGGCGCGGGGATAAAACAAACCCCGCTCCGGCTGCGGCGGGGCCCGATCCCGGCGGGGAGCGGGGTCCAGCCCCGGGAATCCCCGCGCTCTCCGCCGCCCCGTCCACGACGTTCGATAACGACAAGGAGAAAAAAAAAACCAAAAAAAAAAAAACCCAAACGGGGCTTTCCCGTGAAATCCCAGCGCTCCGGGGCTCCCAGCCTCAATGTACCTCGGGTGGGGACGGGAGCGGAACGGCATCCCCGCGACGTTAACGGGGCCGAGCGGGGCTGCTCCGCAGAGCGCTGATTTGTGGCGCTGGCCGGGACGAGCCCCGGGCCGCCCCCGCCCCGTCGGGACGAGCCCCGGGCGGCCGGGCCGCGGACACGCGTGCACAGCGACCCTCGCTCCCCCTCACAGCCAGCGCTGCCGTCGGGGCCGCGTGTCCAAAAACCGCAGAGACTTAAAAAAAAAACAAAACCCGAAGGGAGGCCGGGAGGGGAGCGGGGCTGGGGCGGCCGTCGGCGATGCCGGAGGAGCGGGGCTGTCCGGGCGGGGGGACGCGCACGGGACGCGGCGATTTTACCACGTCCTGCCGTACAGCAGGTTGGGGCTGACCATGCCGCCGCTGTAGTCGACGCCGGCCGAGTCCAGGGATGCCAGGGGGGCCACGGGGCCGTGCAGCGCCGGCGGGCTGGGCGACAGCTCCTCCAGGTCTGCCGCCTGCCCCAGCGAGCCGGGGTGCGGGTGCGCGGCGGGCGCGGCGGCGGCGGCGGCGGCGGCCGCGGGGGCCGCGGGGACGGCGGGCCCGGGGCCCGGGGTGCCGCTGCCCGGCGGCGGGCAGGGTTTGCCGTCCTTCACCAGCACCGGCACGGCCACGCGGCGCGGCGAGGGCTGCTGGCACAGGCCACCACCGCCGCCACCGCCGCCGCCACCGCCACCGCCGCCGCCGCCGTCGGGGTGCAGCTGCTGCGCGGCCGCCTTGTCCTTGGCCTGGCGCTTCATCTTGTAGCGGTGGTTCTGGAACCAGATCTTCACCTGCGTGGGGGTCAGGTGGATCAGGCTGGCCAGGTGTTCCCGCTCGGGCGCCGACAGGTACTTCTGCTGCTTGAAGCGCCGCTCCAGCTCGTAGACCTGCGCCTGGGAGAAGAGCACCCTCCTCTTCCTCCGCGGCGCGGCGTGCAGCGGCACGATGGCCTTGGCGCCCTCGGCGATGCCGCTCAGGCCGCCCATGCCGGCCACGTTCATCCCCGCCGACGGCGCCATGAACCTGGAGACTGAGCGGCACCGGCGGCTCAGCGCCGGCCGCCGCCCGCCCCGTCGGGGCCGCGGCTCCCCCCAGGCCCCCGGCCGCCCCTTCCCCTTCCTCTTCTTCCTCATCCTCCTCCTCCTCCTCCTCCTCCTCGTCCTCCTCCGCCGCGCCCCCGCGCCCGCACTTACTGCTGGAGTAGCGGGGGTCGCCGCCGGGCCCGTACCAGCCGCCGCCCGCCGCCGCGCCGCCCCGCATCCCCTCGGGGTAGGCGGGCAGCTCGCCCACGTTGCCCAGCCCGCCGTTGCAGTAGCCCCCGACGGCGCCGTGCGGGAACTGCGAGACGCCGTGGGGCATGTGGTAGGCGGCCGCGCCCGCCGGGACGTGCTGCGGGACGGAGGCGGCGGCCGAGGGGGCCACGGGAGCCTGGCGGTACGGCCCGAGGGGCGCGCCCAGCCCGCCCGCCCCGTCCATGCCGCCGAACTTCTTGTAGCTCTCCTCCATGGGGCTGAGGATGTCGGTGACCGAGAAGGGCGTCGTGTGCTTGGGGCTCAGCGACATGACGCGACGGGGCGGGCCGGGCCGGGCCGGGCGATGCCGCCGGCACCGGCGAGCCGTCCGCGGCGGCGGCCACCAGCCCCGGGCGCCGGTAGCTCGCCGGTTCTTTTAGCCCGGCGCCGGGTTTACGCCAGACGCGGGGGGGCGGAGCGGCGGCGGGCGGCCCCGGCCCCTCCCCGCCTCCCGCCGGCCCCCGGCCCCGGCCCCCTCCTCCCGGCCATTGTCCTGCGCCCGCCCGACGGCTCTTAAGCCCGGCCAGCCCCGGGGCAGCGCCGGAGCGGCTCCGAGCGGCCCCGGCCCCGCCGCCCTCGCCCGTAAGTACCTGCCCCGTTGCCCCCATCCCCTCTCCACGCTGCGCGGCCACCCCCGGGCACGGCTCCGGCCCGGCCCCGACGGCAGGAACGGGGCAGCCCCGGCCCCTGTCCCGCCCCTCGGAGCCGCCGCCGCGGGGAGCGAGCCCGGCGGGGACCCCCGCGACACCGGAACACCTTTAGGGCCGACGCTGGGCTCGCGGTGGTGCTTTGGGGTTCTCTCGGTCGTTCTTCGTTTGCTGGTGGTTTTGGCACAACGAAAGGCAGCCCGAGCCCGGCCCGGGAAGCGGCTGAGGGGCTCCGGGACCCCGAGCCCGTCGGGGCAGCTCGGAGGGGCTGAGCGGGGTCTCAGCCGGGCTCAGAGCCGGGCCCGGCACCGCCACCGGCACCGCCGCGACGGGGCGGGCGCGCAGCCCGTGCGCGGGGAGATGCGCCGGGTGCGCCTATCCCAAAAATCCATAAAAGTCCTGCAGAGCGGGTGCCGGTCCCGGGCTGCTGCTCCCGGACTCCCCTCGGCTCCCGGTTTGGGAGCCCGGGGTATCCCGCACCCTCTGGACTGCACCCTTCCCTTCTAAACCCCCATCTTTTCTTTTTGGAGGCAAGACACCTGCAGCTCTGTGGTTAAAAATAAAAGATAAAAGATCAGAGCGAGCACGGATTTGCCTTTTAAAGTTCGTGCTCACCGCTGGAACTCTGAGAGCCCGGCGAGGCTCAGGGGTTACACGGGAGGCTCCCGAATCTCCACGCGCTGCCATCCAAATCCCGCCTTCCCGACAGTTCTGGTCGGCTGCAGCCTTCCCACCCTTCGGGACAATTCCTGGCACCTCCATCCTTCTTTCCCCCTGCACCTCTGTTCCCCTCCCCTGCTCAAAAAAAAAAAAAAAAAAAAAAAAGAAAAAAGCTTTTTTACATCTCTGTGTGAGCAGCACAGCGGCCGCCCCACGGGTGAGGACACTCTTTTGTTTTATTTTGTTATTTTGTTATTTTATTATGTTGCTGTTGGGGCGGGGCTGAGGGGATCAGGCTGGAGCCCCCCCCAGCCCTGCAGGGAGAGCTCTGGCAGGAACCTGCAGCTTGGAAAAGCAGGGATCCTGCCCTGGGGATGGATGGATCCATGGATGGATCCATGGATGGATGGATGGATGGATGGAGAGGCAGAGAAAAGTGTCCCTGCTTCCCTCTGGGAAGGGAGAAGCTGCTCCTGGTGCTGTGGGGATGATTCTGGCACAATTTGGGATCTCACCGAGGCCTTGGTGCTGCTCTGGGGACAGAGCAGCCAGAATAAGGTGCAGGGCTGAGAGGGACTGGGCCTGTTTGTGTCAGCCTGGCCCTGCCAGCCGGGATTTCGGGATGTGGCACAAGCCAGGTGGTTTGTAGGGATTCAGGACAGGTGTGGTGCCAGCCTCTGCTCACACACCAGCACCCTGGACTGGGCACCTGGGGCACAGGGAGTGAAATCCAGCCAGGGTGCCCCAGGACAGCAGCCCGGGAAGGGGCAGCTGGGGGGAAAGTGGTGTTTGGGATTAAAAACATCACATCGTTTTGTTGGTGGGGGAAAAGAAAATCCTTTTGATGTGGCAAGTGTCTCACCAAAAAAAACCCCAAACCTTGAAATCTTTCTCGCTTATGGAACGCTTTTTTCTAACCTTACCCTCCATCACCTGGAGGCTCCACACAAACCAGGATTTCTTCCTTCCCTACCCTGGCAGGATCAAGCTGCAGATTCCAAGTGAAGTAGTTTAACAGCAAATTAAAAAAAAAAAAAAGAAAAAAAAGAAAAAAAAAGAAGAAGAAGAAATGCAACAGCTAAGAGCCAGGAAGCCAAACTCTGGCGTTTTAATTTTTGGGGGGTGATTTTCCCCGCTCCCTGATTACCCCAATTCCGCGGAAGGTCGCCCGGACGCCGGGCCGTGCAGATGTTATTTCCAGGAGTGCAGATGTTATTTCCCAGCCCGGCTTGTCTCCCTGACCGTAATGACACTCTCGGGGCTCATTTCCACACTGAAGCTGTCCTTGGCTGTGCGAGCCCGCGCCTGGCACGGCGGAGGTGCCGACCCCGGCGAGCCACAATTGACACGGAGATGGAAGCTGATTTTTTTTTTTTTTTTTTTTTTTGGTGGGGGGGAGTTTCTCAATAATCCAGTATAAATGCTAATCCATTTCTCGCCCCGAAAGCGATGGTTTCCTCCAAATAATCAGCGGTGGCCTCTCCCTGTGGCAGTTTGCCTTGATTCAGCTCTCACCAATAATTTGCGGAGATTAAAAGGGTCTCGGGAACCGAGGTTTAGGGAATTGCTTTCTGAAGACGCGGCGAGATTGGAAAAGGAACCCGGGGTTTCCAGCGCGCTCTAAAACCATTTGCACGTAAACCCCGGAATTAGGAGCTTGAAGTGGCTCTAAATGGGCTCCTGGCAGGCCAGGCAAGAAATGGACCCGGCACAGGGACACCTCCCCTGCCTGGGGACATCGAGCCCCGCACCAGGAACTGCGCGCTGGGATGCCCGGCAGGAATTCCCTGCAGTGGCACGGCCACACCAGGACGCCCCTGTGGCAGGTCTAGGGGGTTGCTTATCCTAAAAGTCAGGTTTAAGGGGTTGCTTACCCTTAAATTCAGGTTTAGGGGGTGTTACCTCCCTGTCCACCCGCAGGCTTCCCTGCCCCTCTTCGCATGATGGTCATGGAATAATCTTTATCCTTGTGCTTGTAGGTTTTCCTACAGCGACTTTTTTGGGATAACTCCCCTCCCCCTCGACGCTTCCCTGGAATTGCTGCTGGATGGATGGGTGGATGGATGGATGGATGGATGGATGGATGGATGGATGGATGGATGGATGGATGGATGTGTTTTCCTCGGGTGGCAGAGTGGGGACAAGCCAGCTCTGCTCCTGCCTGTGGAAAGGGATGTTTCCAGCTCCAGGGCTCCCAGGTAAATGTCTTGTGTCCTCAGATCCGGCTGGGAAAAGTTTCTGGAAAGGGAAAAGTGTGTGGGAGGCAGAGGAGCCAGTTCCAGTGCGGGTAGCAGGGATGTGAAATATCCCAGAGCTGCTTTTAAGGTTTTCCTAATTATTGAAGCAGCAGAAAATACCCCAGTGCTGTGGGATATTCCTGAAGCATCTCCTCCAGCTTTCCCTCAGATAACAGAACACAGATATTCCTCTGGCACTGCAATGCTCTGTGCCAGGATCCCTGATCCTGATTCCCAATCCCTGATCCCCAATCCCTGATCCATGATCCCAAATCCCCAATCCCTGCCCCGCTCCCACCTGGCAGCAGCTCCTTTGTGCTGGTCCCACTGCCTCTCTCCCTTTGTTGAGCCCGTGGTTTCAGTTCCATTTTTTTTTTTTTTTTTTTTTCCCCAGGTGAATTAGTGGGAATAACGAGGCTGGATTTCCCTTTCCTCGTGGCTGCAGTGTGGGTGAGGGCAGGCCAGGAAAATCCGGGCTCCTGAACTCAGAATTCCCTCCTGCTTTGTGCTGCTCGTGGCTGCTCCTGCCTTTGGAATGGGAGCCCTTCCAGGATGTTTTCCCATGGGTTTTAGCCAGCCTGGGCTGTGGGATCACCCTGGAACTCTGCTTTGGGCTGGGAGGGCCCAGCAGGACCATCCAGATGGAAATTTGCCAGCTCCGATTTACAATGGATAAAAAAATTACCGAAATTTTTGCCATTTTACCTAAATTTGCCAGCAGCCTGGCCTGGAGCACTTCCAGGCCTATCCAGCATTCCCATGCTCCGTGGCAGCTGGGCTCAGTGAGTGTCCAGGGGACTTAGGCTGAGCTTTAGCCCTGGCTCTGCTGCCCAGGAGAGAGCCTTGAGCTGGCAGGGAGGCTGGAGGAGCCAGGGCTGACTGTGTCCAACAGGGATTCACCTCCTGACAGGGCTGGATCTGCACAAACCCCCAGACAAACACGTGGGTTTCCTTGGGAAAGGGGAAAATTTAAAAAGTGGGAAATCCTCCATTTGGGTCAGGTTTAGATGCCCTGTGAGGAAGTCATGGAGTAGAGACTTCATGAAGGATGATCTCCATGACTTCTAAAATCAGAGCAATATTCCATGTACAGCTGGGAATAACCATAGTGACTCGGGGTGGGGAGAAATGATTTCCCTCCATCCCTGTTTTCTGTGCAGCCCTGAGGAGCTGGGCTGTGCCTGGTGGGTGCAGGACCTGACAGGGGAATAGGGAATGTGTCACTTCCCAGGGATGTGGAGAGCCGGGGGACACGGTCCAGCGGTGCAGCTGAGGGTGTGACATGGGGATCAGCCGGGATTTTGGGACATCCTGTGGGAGCTGAGCCGCTCCTGCTGTGGGATCACCTCGGGACAGGAGCTGGAGAATGGCCCCGGGCTGGCCCCTGGTGACATTAAACCGCTGTTTTGGGGCTCTCACCTGCAGGACTCCGCGCTTTTGGGGAGGGGAAAATCCCTGCAAACATCCCATTGTTGAAGCGCTGGAATGAGCCCCGCCTGGAAAAACGGCGGAGAAGTTTCCCAGTGGAACAAAAGCCCCGAGCAGATGTTGGGAGAGGCGCTGGCCTCTTCCAGATGGGGTTAATGAAAGCCTCCGTTAGGTGAAAAAAAAAAGAGGAAACCGAAGTTTTTGAAGGAGCTTCTCCTGCCGTGCGTTTTCTCCTGCTCAAGGCCGTCCTTTTTCCCGGAGCCCGGCTCCCTGCTCCGCCTCATTGTTCCCTCCCGCTGCTG